GGCGAGCGCACACGCACTATAGCGAAAACCTTTAAAAAAAAAAATAGAAGAGTTAAAAATACCTTTATCGTGAAAGTACTTCTAATGTGGAATTTGACCAATTCGATTGTAACTGTGCTTGAGAACATTTGTGCTAACGAGAGAGGACATCATCGTAGTCACTAGTGAGCAGATGTCAGTGTATTGCTACGCTCACGTGCATTGCCTAACTACCTTCTAGCTTACCCTTCCTTTCTCAGTGGCATATTAAGTTACTGTGTCCTCATTTATTTGTTTAGGTTTTTGCCATAGGGCATGTGCACTCACCAGAGACTGATAGAGACAGTGAGAAGAAAAATGAGAAATCTCCCGGAGAGATGGCCACGTCGTAACCCTTCTCCTCCGCCCTCCCGCTCTCCTGGGATTGTGGCTACACTCACACAGGACTGGCGTGATTTTCAGGCTGCCAGGTCTGGGACTCAAACCATGGCCAGCCATGTGGGGGTCCAGCAGCTTACCCACCACGCCACCTGCTGGCCCAGCATTTTCATTTGTCTTGACAAGGTACTGTGGGCAGCACACAGTAATAGTAGCGTCAATCTGTTATTAAGATGAGTATTTTTTCGAATAATCTACAAAGTAGATAATTCTCACAGTTAATTGAGAGAGTGAAAAAAATCAGCCAAGATTTATTATGTTAATATATTGGCCATATTCAATAACAGATAAAAGGGAAACTAAAGACCTCACCTCTGTATAAGCACAAATGAATTTGAAACAGTAAAGGTGACATTGCCTCGTTCTTATAGCTACTTAGCTCACAAATAGTTTTGTTTCTTTTTCAATTTCAGATTGCATCGTTATTTGCAGTGTACGTTGTGGGGTACATCGATGCATGTAAATTACGGAAGATCATTTATACGCACATGGTAAGGCTGTTTTACTGCTTTTCTTCCGTTCCGTTTGTTCTTCAGGTAACTCCTGATTACTGTTCTGTCTGTCCATGGTTGAAATGAGCGGTACCAGAGTCCCGTACTGAAACCAGGGTCACTCAAACCCTGCCGTCAATCAGAAGACCTCGTTTTAAGTAGGTTACCCAGGGAGTTTTACTTCTGGTTATGTTATCTGACCGGGCCGGCCTCTCACGTTGTCAGTAAGAGAAGTAGTTCCTGGAAGAGAAGCGTGAGCTGTGTGTGACGGAGGAGCTCCAGCGGCCCGGGCACGCGGAACACCACCGCGTCTACACCCGCAGAGAACCTGGCACTCGCAGTGGTCCGTTCTAGGAAAGTCGGGAGGAGGGAGGACAGGGCACAGACAGCCGCGCAGAAAGGAGGGCATTGTGCAGTGTGGTGGGTGACCGGGGGTGTAGCAGAGGTGGAAAGACAGGCAGGTAAGGCAGATCCCTGGGGCCAGCGTCAGGACTGGGGGTTCGAGGTGCCAAATGCGGTGTCAGGGCAGTTCTCCTTGAGAAGGTGGGAGGGGAACAGAGACTGGGAGGAGGGGAGGGCGTTCGTCGGGTAGATAGCGTTGAGAAGAACGTTCCAAGTTGGCAGAGTAAGACGGCAGAGACCCTAAGCCCAGTTGGTTGTTGATAAGTGTTTATCCTTTAAATACACGTTCTCTCTGTCCTTAGTTTCATCTTGATGTTTTCTCGTTTAATGTCGTATGCTGTTTTTTTAATATTGTAATAACTAATACATACAAAGGGTAGTTGTAATGCATAGGGAAGTTACAAACAAGATTTTATATATAAATACACACACATATATGCATACCAAAAGAAAAGTACCCTGTAACTTTACTCTAATTGCCTAGGTTTTAGTAGGTCTTCATTGATTCTTTCAGATATTCTTTATAAATTATATTATCTTTAAACAAAGTTTAATTTTTTCCTTCTGGTCTTTGTACTTTTTATTTCCTTTTCTCACCTTATTTTATCAGCTAGGACTTTCTGTCTGGTATTAAAAGCAGTGGTGAAAAGAGCGTCATTGTACTGTTTCTGGTATTAGCAGGGAAGTCTCACATTCCCTGTTAAGTACGGTTTTCGTTACAGAATTTTTCTTAATGAAGTTGAGGAAGTTCCTTCCCTCTATTGAGATCCTTTGTTCTGAATGGCTGTTGGATTTTCGTCTCCTGCTTTTTGTACATCTATTAATATGATCGTGTGCTTTTTCTTTGTTAGCTTGTTAATATGATGGGTAATGTTAATTGACTCTTGAATGGTGAATCTGCCTTGCACATCTGTGGTAAATCCCACTCTGTTGTAGAATGTGATTATTTTTATATATTGTTGGGTTCAATTTGCTAATCTTTTGTTGTGAGTTTTTTGCATCTGTGTCCATGAGGGATATCAGATTGTAATTTTTAATAATGTCTGAGTAATGCTGGCCTCCTAGAATGAGTTAAGGAATATTCCTTCCACTTCTTTCTTTTGAAAGAGATTGTAAAGAATCGATACTTTTTTCCTAAATGTTTGTTAGAAAATTGATTAGATTCTTCCTAAATGCTTGGTAGAATTTACAAGTGAACCTCTCTGGGCTGGTGCTTCCCTTTGGAAGGTTATCGGTTTGTTTGGCAGATAGAAGCCTCTTCAGTTTGTCTGTGTCTTACGTGAGTTTTTGGCAGTTTTCTATTTCCTCTAGTCATCACGTTGTTTATCGTGTTCTCTTATTGTCCTTTTAATTTCCTTGAGGTCTGCAGTGCTCCCTCTTTCATATTTTACGTATTTTTCTTTCTTCTTAGTTAGCCTGGCTAGAAGTCCATCATCAATTATTTTCCAAGAACTAGCATTTTTCTCTATTGATTTTTTCCCCAATTTTCTTAATTTTTGCTCTCCATTTTTATTATTTCCTGTTTTCTGCTTAGTTTGGATTTAGTTTGCTCTTTTTCTAGTTTTCTGTGATGGAAGCTTACCTTATTGACTTTAGGTATTTCAACATCATTTTCTATTTTTAAGACTTTATTCAAGTTAAAAACAGATGGACATTTTATTGAAATTATAAATATATGCACACACCTCAAACCAAAAACTAGCATTACACAGAGCGATGACTCAGTGTAGCTATTCCCTTTCGTGCCAGAGCATGACAAATGTGCCTACTGTCATCTTCATACTTTTTTTAAGGTTCTGCCTTAGGGTGCATATGCTTGCTGGAAAGAGAGAGAGAGACAGAGAAAGTGAGAGAGAGAGTGAGGAATCACCCCCCACGGGAATGGCCACACTGTAATCCCTTCTCCCCCGAGGATCTTGAGCATGCACACACACACGTGCCCAGCATGAGTTTCAAACCACTGGGTCTGGGACTCAAGCGGGCCAACCACGTGGGAGTCCAGCAATGCAAACACTATGCCATCTGCCCCTTAATACCTAACATGGTTGCAGAAATACTAACTAATGCAGTTTCCTAAAAACATTTTAAATGTCTGAAAGATGTAAACGTATCATTGTTTTTAGATGGTATGATTTTAATCTCTTTCTTCTTTTCAGAGAGATTTTTGCTATAGGGGGTATGTGCTCATGGGAGAGGGAGAGATAGAGAGACAGGAAGCGAGAAATCATCCCCCCCAGGGGATGGCCACACCGCAATCCCTTTTCCTCCATTCTCTTCTTAGGATCTTGGGCACACACGCACCTGCTCCCAGTGTGAGTTTTAAGCCACCAGGTCTGGGACTCAAACCATGGTCAACTTCGTGGGAGTCCAGAGACATAACCATTACACCATCGCTGATCCTTCTTTTTTCTTCTTCTTCTTCTTTTTATTTATTTATTTATTTATTTTTTAAGGTTTTTGCCATAGGGAGTGTATACTCACCAGAGAGACAGAGAAAGAGAGAGGGAAAGTGAGAAATCAACCCCCAGTGGGAATGGCTAACCTGCAGTCCCTTCTCCACCATTATCCTCTTGGGATTTTGGGTGTGCACACACCCACCCAGCATGATTTTCAAGCCACTAGGTCTGGGACTTGAACCATGGTTGGCCATGTGGGATTCAGCACCTCCACCCCCATGCCACCTGCTGGCCTAATGGTATGATTTTTGAGTACCTGTAAAATCCAAATTAATAAACTACTACTAGGAACAATGAAAGATTGTACCCATCATGCCCATAAAACTCTTCTATGAACAAACTCTAAGCAGAAAATATGGGAAACCGTTTCTCATGCAATAGCAACGGGAGCAGTGTACTTTGGAATAAATTGGATAAACATGCAGGGCTTGCGTGGAGAAGGCTTTGTACTTACTGTCGGGTGCAGAGTGCTCTCGAAGAAATGAAAACCACGAGTGTTTTACTCTAGAGATCGGGTAGTCGGGAGTCACCGTGCATTTCGGCATAGAAAAATGTAGAAAAACATGTTGCAACCTTTCTGATGGCCTGGTATAATATATATTATTGAATGAATAATTTTAATAAAATTTTCAGGTTTTTAAAACTTAAGCTGATTTAAAAATTTATATGGAAATTGATATTTATAGAACAAAAATAAATCTTCTAGAAGAAAATATGGATGAATTTATTTTAGAGGTTTCTCTAATATTTTCTGAGGATCTAAAGGAAACGACTGATAATTCAAGCGACATAGAAATTTAGAGAATAACCACAGCACAAAAATGCCGCAAAGGTCATAAATGAACTGGGGGGGAACCAGCAGTTAGCATAATGGCTATGTCGCTGGACTCCCACATAGTCGACCGCGGTTCGTGTCCCGGACCCA